TGTAAATCGGGGAAAAAACAAAATACGCATAATTTAGTTAGTGATTGAATTAAATTCATTATTTTAAATGTAAAATAAAAATAAAATAAAAATGAAAAACGAAAAATATTCAGGGTCAGGGTTTAGTTTCGAGCGAGCGACCGACGAAGGCGAAAATAGCCGGTCGCCAATGAAAGATCCGCGGCGGCAGCAAACTTTACGTTACAATGTGAACGCTTTTTGTGTGCAAAAAAGGGGGAAATTCCGTTCATTTTTTGGTTTTACGCCAGTGTTAACAAACGAACGGTGCTAAAAAATGACTGTACAAATATGTGCGCAGCATAAACTTTTATTTTTAACAATTTATATTTCTGAAAAGCCGTTATTTTGAAAACCGTGTAAAGGTGAAATCGTGTAAATCAAGTACCGTGTAAATCGGGGGATAGGTGTATTTTGTTATCGTGAAATACTAAATATGAAAATACAAGAACTCGGAGAATTTTGAACGCAAAGTGTATTAACCTTGATGTCAATAGAAAAAGTAATGGAAAAAATTTTCTTTTATTTATGTAACATATAAAACTGTATAGGCAAGATTTACAGCAATTGTACTGTTTCGAGAATACTTATACTACAAGTATCATGTGATTTTTCGACAAATATGTTCACAGTGAAAAGGTAAAACTAATTCTTGAGTAGAAAGTACACGTGGAAAGTATGAAATTAAAAATATTTATAGTAATGGCTAAACTTAATCCAACAGTATTTACCTACATCGCTAATTTCGTCGTTGATAAATATTACAGCGATTCTGTAACAGAACAGAGAAAGTTGCTAGGACTAAATTTAATTTGAACAGAAAAATCTGAAACGGAGGTAGATCCAGCGTGAATGAAATTTCATTGGAAGCATTTAAATTTCATCCGTTCGTGGTTCCAATTTAATTCATTCGACGAACATCGTCACACTCGCGATGACGTTCCGCCACAATGTATTCTGGGGGGGACTTTAACCAGGCTTTATTTATTTATAAGAGGCGCGTATCGTAAGAATATTGATGGCTGGAACGATTTGCGGATTCAAAGTACGCTGTTGAAGGCCGGGAAACAAATAGCCTCCCATTTGAATCGGTTTTGTCAACGTGCTTGATTTACAAATCAATCCTCGCTTCCAATCCAAAATATTTTCGCGACTAACGGTTGCTGATTTTTATCGCGATCACATACGCGATTTTTCATCACGTCCGTTTTAATTGTAATCGCGGCGTTTAACGTTTCAATTACAGTGAAATTACACGGTGAATCACGCAATGAATTTGCTTGTCTTCGATCCTTTTGGATGCATACAGAAGTGTACTTCGAGTGTTTCTTTTTCTAACGACGATTCGAGAATTACTAAGACTTTTGTTGTCAAATTTTTCTAAAGTCATCGTCGTAATGGTGTTCAAGTAAAATTTTCGCCGCACACAGTACGAGCTTTCTGTCACGAAACAATGATATTGTTTTGATACGTCATTGGTTATTATATCAGTACGGTTATCAGGAGTGCAAGATTAGATGTCATTCACACAATATTGTTTTTATCATGTAAATGTATGTCGTCAATAATCAATCGAAGAATGTTATCGCAGGGAGGAATACATACACTACCGGCCAAAAGTTTCGAATCACCGAGCATTGCAGTTTATACAAAAATTTCCAGAAAAAAGTCAGAGACTTTGAGAATTTTTTATCGTTCGAATCAATTGATATGAGATAAATTGATAAACGTGGATTTGAGACAAACTTCAAATCTATAAAAAATTAGCAGCAGATTTAATATTGACGAAAAGTGGAAGGTGATTCCAAACTTTTGGCCGGTAGTGTATGTACATATATACTTAAATCTTATCTAATTTCTAAAAATACAATAAACAAATACTTTCGATCTTTTAGATTTTTGAGCGTTGCATACTTCGCGTTTCTTAAATACAGCCGTAATAGTGTATAAAAGTCTGTTGTTATAAATTATAAATTTTCAGGTTTTTACGCAAAGGGAACTATTATTTAATCAAACAAAGTTAATATTAGAAATATTTTTAATCGTAGTAAAAGTTTTTAATTGAACATAATTTGAGAGAAATGAAAACAAATAAGCGCCGATGTTAAGTAAAACAGTTATTTCGTTAGTTAGTTAGAAATAAATGAGCAGATTGAAAATGACTTAAAAATCAATTTAGATACTACACGTATCTTCCTCTAACTCGAATCTTCCTCTTCCTCGAAAATATGGAGATATAATTGAACAAATTTATTACAATTTCAAAAACATATTTAAAAATGAATTTCTAAGTACACAACATGATAGTACAGTAATAAGGGAAAAAGAAATAATTCTTTATTATTTAAAATTACGCATTATTTGCATATTTTTCTTTTTTAACAGAAGCCTCGTGCAAGAAAGCAAAAGGAAAAGTGTGTCGGAATGTTTGCAAGCAAGGTTCTGTTAGAAAGTTTATTAGCAAAAAATGTTACCTGCCTTTAACCTGTAGACTCTAACTTCAAACACGAATCCCTTTGTTTATATGTGTATTTAATTGTTCATATTTTTGTGTGATATTTTATTCAAATATAGCGTATTATTTAAAACGCGCCAAATAGTCCTTATACGTAATAGATTCCTCATTCAAAAAGAATTACATATACCGACCGTCAGATCTGTGATTGTAGCTCGTTTACCGCGTTTTCATATCATGCGTGAACAGTAATCTGTTTACATTGCAAGTTCTTTGGAATAAGAATTCGACTTCGTTTCTGAATTAATCTAGGAACGCGTGCTTGGCTTGTATGTTATTGGTATATTTGTGGAACAAATCAGATCTCTTTGTCGGACCATGTAAGTAGGTACATACTTATACTTGAAGTGCATCGTATCTGTTCCGTCGCGCAGGTACGGAACGCATGGGGTCTTCGTTGACCGGGTTTATGGCACGCTCGCACGAGAAGGTTATTTTTGAGAACAAAGACGCTTCGTAGCTCCGCGAGAAAGTAAGTAATTTCTTACAGAACAATGCCTTTAGAATTTCGACTTTTCCGCGTCCTCAATAACCGAAGACGTGTCATAAACCAGGTATTACTGAAGGGTCAATCCACACGCGCGTATAACGGCACTCTCGGCCGAGGGTTGACCTGGCGGGAACTTCCGACGCGTCACCGAAGGACAGCGAAGATTCCGCAGGTAGGGCCCCACTCCTTCCAAGGAAAAGCGCGCCAAGGGCGCAATGGAAGGGTGGGTGACAATCAAGGGACACGTTGATTGGTAATTTTTACTTTCGTGAGACACAACACATTCGAAAGATTCTCTCGTGTGAACAAGATACTCTCTCCAGCCGTTCAAGTACAATTCGAGTCTTTGAAACAAAGTCGTCAATCGTTCGTGACGCACTCTACGTTTTGCTAACGTTCGAGCAAAGTAGATTTTGAACTAGTTACCCAAGATTAATTTGGCGGGTAACAGTCGCGACCGCGAGCTTCCTGTTGAACATCGCAAAAGAACGCGACGCGACAGTATCACTAATCCGAAAAAAATACAAAACATCCTTGAAAATATTTTGAATAACACACAGCTATTTTTACGTCACAAGTTTTAAGTGGAGATTAAACTCTCGGTGATTTCAACGACTTACTCATTATTTACCAAATAATTGAATTGTTACGTACATACATATATAAAATACGTAAACTCGTTGTATCGAGCACGTGCAAAATGATTATTTTGTCCACGTCACGCTGAGAGTTAACTCGTATTTCGCGATATCGCGTTCTCGTTGAAACACACGACACGATTATTATGATAAAACGGTGATAACGATGGTAATAAAAATAAGTCTACAATATAGTTAATCGTTCGCTAATATCATAAGAAGCGTGATACCTTCGCTGCATAATGATTTCAAGAAAATCAGAATTCATACACGTGAATTGGAAAAAAATTGATTGTAACTATTCGTTCTATTAATCTTTCGTTAAGGAAATTATTAAGTATACAGTAAAATACACGGTAGTATTAAAATTGTATGCAATAATTTTTTTCGTATTCCAAATTATTTATAATCCAAGTTGAAGTACTTGGGAATGTATACTCTACGGCACTAACAAAAATACCATAATCAAGAGAGAAAGAAAGAACTGGGTTGTTTGAAATTTTTAAATAATATGGAATTTTTTATTTCATCGTAAGTAATATACCTACGTACTTCTTTTTACTCATCAAATGAAACAGTAAAAACTAATCCAATTGTGACGATATTTTAAAAAAATATTAGTCAGCTGTGAATTACACAATAATTAGTAAATAACGTTAGTACTAAAAGTGTAGGTACTGCATTTTTATTGTGACTTAAAGATTTCATCCTTAAATCTAAGTAACTTCCATCGAAACTTTGCCCAATTCGTTTAGTAATTCAAGATTAATCATAACAGGACCTACTTCATTTTTTCCTCGTTGAATCACTGCTCACAGGGAAAAACGTGCGCGTTTAATATTATTTAAGGTATAAATTTATGCAAGTTCCTTTCCGACTATTCTTTCGTACATACACTACCGGCCGAAAGTTTGGAATCACTTGCCAATTTATATTATTGAATCTGCTACTAATTCTTTATTGCTTTGAAATTGACGTTGTGGAGATCAATAGCACGTTATCTCATTTCGATTAATAAAAAATTCGTTGGAAAATTATTATAAATGCTAACATTTCTGGGGAATTTTTGTGCAACTTGCAATGCACAGTGATTCCAAACATTTGGCCGGTAGTGTATGTAAATGTGACACTATACGTGATAAAAAATTATTCGTTACGAATTAGAAGGTACAATATTAGGTTTAAAATAGACATCGCCTGGTTATCGTACCATATGTTATCTAAGACAAGATATTTTGTAATTGTGCCAATTACATACAATCTAACAAATAACGCCAGCATTGGCCGAGGCGCTAAGTGTTTGTTTAACCATATGTAAAGTTGAAAATCTTTGTTTCAGAAACTTGGCAATCATTGCACTCCGGACTCCCGATAAGGAACGAAGTGCGGTTTCACTCTTTCGATCGAACCTTTGATACAGCGTACGACGATTTGTGCAGTGCCAAAAACGATACAGTGTCGTTCGATTGAGAATAAAAGTGTCGAGTTTGCACAACGAAAAGGAAGGAGGCAAGGGAAATATTTTTGCAACGAATACAAGAAGACTGTAGCGCTGTCATCGTAGTAACAAATTTTTCATATTTACAAGTTAATATCGAAACAACCTACCGGAAGATATTCAACGCGTTCATTTTGCAACAAGTTCGTTACTCGACATAAGGAGATCTATTTTTTCACACGAACGCGCTCTAGTTGTAATCAGTCGAAAACCTGGGCACAGTGTAATTGCTATATTTGGTGAAAGTGTTGCTATACTTTATCGACAAAAATGCATCCCTCGCATGCTAGATACGCTTTGATCAAGCATCGAAACGCGCTGCAAGTGTACAAAATTGCGACAAAATGCTTCAGCACCGATGTCCAGTACAAACCAATCAGAAGCGTCCTCGTCGCCAATCGAGGTAAGTTTTATTTTTCACTTTCGGTGAAGAAATTTGTGGAACTTCTACAACTGGAACATTAGCGAACTTCACAAATTTCTGAAAGATAAACGAAATTCCTGTTGTACCTATACAATAAACGTGAATGATATTTCGTTTCTTAGTTAAAATACGATTAAAGTCTTTCAAAGTATTACTATAGAAATTTTATAAATTTCTTCACCACGAGTTGTCATTAATGAACTGATACGATACATACAAAATGTTTTACTAAAATTTAAAGTACATACTCTTCATCGCCAGAAATGAATAATTGAAACAAATTGCTTAGAGTAAGTATAGTTACTATCACTGAAATATTACACACAGATTGATCGGAAAAAGTAAAAATCGTCGTTATCTTGTTTACTTTTAAAGTTATGAAATGATTCTTCGAGGAACGTAAAATGATTTCTAGAACGGATTCCTCTTGGAGATCATTTTTTCTAACAGTCTCTTCTCGTAAGATTAATCAAAGTTATTAATACTTTATCAAATGGAAGTAAATATTTTGTTTTGCATATAGTTATTTTTTTTCTACATAAGTGATATCTTCTCTAAATTTTAGTCTGTTTATTTGAGTTTATATGGTTAGACTTATCCCAACTTGTTCAAAATATATGTTGTCAATAAAAATTTACTCTCTATCAAATATAGTAGATATAACGAGGTAACTAATTGAAATATATATGCGGTGTGCATTCTTGTATATTATATGTTCGAGTGAATAATCATGTGGTGAAAACAAGCGTCCCTTCTAAAATAATGTTAACTTTCTAATCTTCCCAACGGAATATAAATATATACTTAAATTAATAAACGGTAGAAAAATTATTATGGTTACTACTATTATTATTTGTATTAGTATTGTAGTATCGGGGCCTCCATGCCCAAATAGGAAACCTCGAAGGGAGCATATAGAGGGAGTGGTTGGCGTAGTGCGCAAAGCCTCTGCTTGCTAAGCCGAAGGTCCCAGGTTCGATTCCCGTTTGGGTCCCTCAATATTTTTCCGTGGTCGGTTCCTACAAATGGGGGCTCGTCCGGGATGGAGGCATCTACGGCTGCACGAAGCCCCATGCGCTGTGAGATGAAAACATCTCGAGGGTTGCACGTCTCCCAAAAATGCCTTGTTTCGGCTGTGTGCCACTGTGCGGGGGAGCGTGCCCGAAAGTGTCGAGTTGTGTTGCACTGAGGACATTCGAGGGCGAATTTCAGTTCAGGATGGCCGAGTGTAGTATCGGGGCCTCCATGCCCAAATAGGAAACCGACCAGGGAAAATAGAGAGGGAGTAGTTGGCGTAGTGCGCAAAGCCTCGGCTTGGGAAGGTCCCGAGTTCGATTCCCGGTTGGGTCCCTCAATATTTTTCCGTCGTCGGTTCCTACAAATGGGGGCTCGTCCGGGATGGAGGCATCTACGGCTGCACGAAGCCCCATGCGCTGTGAGATGAAAACATCTCGAGGGTTGCACGTCTCCCAAAAATGCCTTGTTTCGGCTGTGTGCCACTGTGCGGGAGAGTGTGCCCGAAAGTGTCGAGTTGTGTTGCACTGAGGACATTCGAGGGCGAATGTCAGTTCAGGATGGCCGAGTGTAGTATCGGGGCCTCCATGCCCAAATAGGAAACCTCGAAGGGAGAATATAGAGGGAGTTGTTGGCGTAGTGCGCAAAGCCTCGGCTTGGAAAGGTCAAATGCCTTGTTTCGGCTGTGTGCCACTGTGCGGGGGAGCGTGCCCGAAAGTGTCGAGTTGTGTTGCACTGAGGACATTCGAGGGCGAATTTCAGTTCAGGATAGCCGAGTATAGTATCGGGGCCTCCATGCCCAAATAGGAAACCTCGAAGAGAGAATATAGAGGGAGTGGTTGGCGTAGTGCGCAAAGCCTCTGCTTGCTAAGCCGAAGGTCCCAGGTTCGATTCCCGGTTGGGTCCCTCAATATTTTTCCGTCGTCGGTTCCTACAGTACTGTCGTTACTACTGTTTCGCGTTTATTATGCAACAATGATGTACCGCTAAGATATAAAAGTATAAATCAGCAGTATTTCTTGAAAAACGAGGTACAGTCGTGAGCTTGTTTATGAGCCTAGCCTTTACTACTTTTGATTGTTTAAAAAAATATGTCTAAAGAAGGTGAAGCAACAATTAGAGAAATGTCTGCTAAGTTGCACACGAATAAACGAGTCGATCGTGGTCACGAAGCAAGGAATAATAATAATATTACTACTGATATTAATAATAATTAATTTAAAGTGAGTAATAGGCAAAGCATAGTGATTTAGTTGATATATGAAGTACGGCAAAAAACATTCTAATTGATGGAGAAGTAGCAAAATCGATCAGAGCTTGCTTGTAAATGTGTACATTAAAGAGATCTAGAGAATCGGACAGTGTTGAAGGTAGTACTTAAAAGGAATTCTGCTCGACGCGTTTTAATAGTAATCCGATGAATCCGATACTCGTTCAGAAAATCCTGTTGGAGAACGAAGTGTATAGTTGATCCCTTCGACGAAAAGTTTCTACCTAGTTCAGTAGTGTTTCATATGTTAAACTATGGAAGAGCTATAACTATGGTAATATTCTCAATACACTTGAATGTTATGAATTATGTTTACATATGGTTGGTTGCGTTTGGTTACGTGCTTATTAAGATAAATAAAGCATGATTCAGAACAAAATGTGTATATTGAACAGATGTACAAAAATTGTATCCTCTAAAGTTCTGAGCTATGAAATATATACGGTGATTCTTACTAATATTCGGACACTCCTTAGAACAGTATAACTTTTTTAAAATTGGACTTAACGACTTGAGTTTTTTTGAGAAGTTAGGATTAGTATACTAGATGACTAGAAAAAATTGCAATTTGTGAAAATCGCGAAGAAAATTGTAAAGGTCACATTCGACAACTTTTTTA